ATACTATGCGTTTTCACGTGTCAGCATATCCTATACTATAGAATCGCTGGACATCGATATCGGCTATTGAAAAACACGTCGGTCGCCGTGCACGAAACTATCGATAAAACGCACCTGACAGATCGTGGGTGGTGGACGTGAATTATCGCGGCTACTTCCGGGAGCGGTATATCACGGGAGGAAAGTATGTCCCGGAAGTGCACGAGCACACGCTGTTACGCGCGGTGACAAGTCTTGATAAAATTTCACGAGACACGAGACGCGCGTCGCGCGGGTATTATTTCGCGAGCTCAAACCTGTTTCAAAATGAGCGCATGGTGCACGCGAAAATGAAAACATTTCAATTATCATCTTCGCTCGCGCTCGAACATGGCGATTTCCACCCTCGATCGTTCCCAGCAATTATCCGGATTTCTTTCCAATTGTTATTCTTCTATGTTATTTTTCGCCGTAACGCGCAAGAAACTTAAAGATGCTCCCGCGTCGTGTGCGACGATATTATACGCCGTGAATGAAGCTTATTAATGCAACAACGCTAACGTAGCGGTTATTTCGAGACTTTATGGACGAGCATTCCGGTACGCGCCGGTAATTGCAAGACAAGTATCGTCGGATCGCGCGAACCGGAACAGGTTCTCTCTACCATTGTTAATTATTACGATGCGAATATGATTCAAAGGTGAGAGAGAGAGAAGGAGAGAAAGAAAGAGAGAGAGAGAGAGAGAGAGGAACTTTTACGTTCGCGACGACACGCCGCGCGTCCTTCGATGTCTGCCTCTCTCTCTCTCTCACGAGCGTGCAACGAGAGGGATTACCGCGCGCTTAATCGCGCGAAACCTACATTCCCGTAATGTGGAACGGGGAATTACTTTCCGCAGAGATAATCCCCTTTGTGTAATTAGTCTCGAAGGGAGCTCGAGCTCGTGTAAAACGCCGTTCGTTCAGCTGATCCGCGTAAAAAGCAGCGCGTCGAATTTTACGGTCGGTTCATTCATCCGACTTATCACGGTGTGGTGCGACATTGGATCATTCGTTTTTACGATTTTGCTCGTTTCTCCCTTCCTCTAACCTCCATCCCCCCCTCTCCCTTACCCTTTCCATTCGTAAAAGCAGCTCTTCCAACTTCTTCCCTAACCATCTCTACGAATATTTCCTAACTTCCTCACTCTCGACAGTAATTGTGCTGACATTTTTAAAATATAAGTAAACTTTGCGAAATTTCTTTTATTCTATATAATAACACCACTTCTATATAATACGCTTACATTAAGGAATATATATAAAAAAAAGAGTATCATCTTTAGTTGCGAATATCTCAGCTTCCGAATGGTCGATCCACATCTAATTGGGTCAGTAATTAGGTATCACATTTAAGTCTACATGTATTGCAAGTCTCAATAGATTCTTAAAAAAAAGAACTCATTTTACGCTATAACGACCATAATGTAACCATAGGGCCGCCATACTAGCCGGTTTATTGCCCCCCGAGCCGCGGAAACCATAATTTCCAGCGAGACACGATGCTGCGCACCGCCGGCGCCACGCCTTCTATGACGCGATGAAGAGCACGCCGGCAAAGTTATTAATTAAAACGCCTTGCGGAAGTGATCGCGCTTTTAGAGGTGGCTTCCGACGCGAGGCGATTATGAGTTTATTCCGCAACGACAGCCCAACGCAGGCGGGCGCATTTATTGATTCCTTGATAGCCGTGGCGGCACGCCACCGTTAATTGCACGACGCGCTTCGCGTACAACACACGCTGTTAGTCTGAATTACCGAGCCGAACCGAACGGAAATTCTATTCGGCCGTCTGCGCGTGTGTATGCGTATTGTCGAAGGTCGCGACTTGTGCCGAGACTACACTTACGATATCGAGCGACCGATGACTTCCTCGTTAATAAAGCCGCGAAACAATAGCGTCGATCGTGTTACCGCGTCCCGCTATCGCCGTCTCTAATGGGGGGATTGTTGCCCTCTCAAGTGATTGTTATTTTTTAAACGACGGCTCGTTTCACACGGGGAAAAATAATTTGCTGGCACGAGAAATTTTATGCTGTCGCAGTAAAATCTCATGTCGATTGCTGCGTGAATAGCGGAGCGACTTGTTAAGAGTATTAATTGCCATTCGCTGGATTATTTTGTCGAATATACAAATTATATTGCTGTAAGAAAAAACGAATAAATGTAGGAAGAGACTATTTTGTTCTATTATTTATTTATTTCTAACTATTTATTTCTATTTATTTATTTTGTTCTAACAGCAAATTAATGTGTCTTAAGAACAAATTTGTTCAGCAGAATATTTCCTATCCAGACGACAAAATTATTTCTGCTCTAATTACGAATAATTCATTAATTTGGCTATCCAAATTAAATTTTATCGCTGTCGAATATGCAGTAGCAACGGTATATTTACTGCAATATTTGTGTTATTTTAGGTCAGGATGATGACTACGACTTCGGGTCCGTCAAATGAATTTCACATATTTCTCGGCGAGAGATATTGTTCAGGTGGTCGGTAAACTGCGCTAAAGACGTGGAAAATCGAGTGGGATTTGAAACTGGAAGAACTCTCAAAGCCTTTCTCCGGGTAATAGACTTAGACTCGGAATGGTAGAGGCGATGTGCTTCAAGACTCACGGCGCGAAACATGAGTAAGACGAAACCCAAGAGCGGAATATCTCCGGCAAAAGCGGAAGTCGCTGCAATTTAAGCGGGTTTACGCCGGTCGAGATGGTGCGTCGTGCGCGTCGCACCGTCTCACGCGTGCTTATTATTCCGCGGAATGTGTTATTCCGTGGGAGAACAAGGATATGCGTTCCCGTTCCGGGGGAAATTTTCGAAAAATGCGTGCACATCGTGTATCCCAGACAGAATAATTTCCTAGATCTCTTAAAGACATCTGAAAGATGTTTAAAAAAAAATAGAACGTCTATCTGAGATCAGGTTTCAAAATTTTGATCTGAACACTTTTTTTCTGCGTTTCGGAACGCAGCCAATGATTTAACGAGAGAACTCGTTTTTGACCAATTCCCAGAAGTTTTCTCGTTAACTGTGTTCATATCAGCTGTTCATCGGGACGAACTGGTTCACGATGAGACTTTTCCAGCGCATTCCAGTCGTCTCGTAAAACCAGGCTTCATTACAACGTAATTAACAGTCGTCGCGCCGTGGCATGTACGTATACGTTTAATTTAATTAATGTATTCAGAATCTAACGCAATTTCAGAAATAAATTGCGGCAGCAAAAATAAATTGTGTGCTCGTGATGCGGTAAAATTATCAAGATTCTTACGGACAACGTAATAAAAACATCTTACACGTAATTCTTCTAAAGAAAAAATCCAAAATCCTTTGGTAAGAACGTTGAAAGGCTTTCGTCTGGCACGTAACCCTGTCGCGAAAGAGACGTAACCGCGAAACGAGGCGAAAGACATCGAAGTTATTGAATGTCCCTCTATTCTCATTGATTTCATCGGTGTCAGGAAGTAGTCGGTGCTGGTTTATTACATACCGTAAAACATAATTGCTCACTTAACTATTTTAACGGCGACCGCTTCCCGCGCCGCGACGCGACGGCCCAGCAAACAAAGGCTCCCGTTTTAGCTTTAATTAAGCAAAACACGGCGTCATATATATGTAAAAATATATATCGCGCTCTGATATTAGCACGATTGCAAGAAGTTGCGGAACGATTTCGACCGCACGCGAGCTAATGAGCGGATTCAAGAAATTGCCGGCGACACGCCGCTTTTGCGCCGCGCGTGACGTTATTTTTGCTCGGTTTGGCAAATGCGAGTGACCAGATTCGAATATCAGACGTTATTTTTATAGCAGAGGACAACATTGCAAATTCCAAACTTGACTATTGGAGGAAACATGGAATTTAAAATACAGGAAGCAACGTATCAACGATATAAAAACCGGTATCTTTGACCGACCGACTGTCGTGGCTGCGAAAAACACGAGACTTTACACCAATTTTAATTAATTCCTAAACAGTGCTCTTTAGTGAAGCGCAATTTTTCCAATGTTCCATCGTTTTATAAAATCAGACTTTATTATTAACATAATCAACGCTTCGCCGTATGGCGTACGCACGTTCAGTTAAATTAATTAATTCAGCATAATATATAATTATATATATATATATGTAGAATATCTTAGACCAACAGGGAAATTTCACGAAAGCGTAAAACAGATTGAAGTGGACAAAAAATCCTCAACCATTATGCAAACAACACGCAAAATTTCAAGTTATTAATGAATGAAAAATCTATGTATAGGGGCTTCTTTAACTAACTAAAAAATTCGCGTGTTATTTGCAAAATGATAGAGACCTTTTTATTCACCTCAATTCGTTTTGCGCCCTCCCAAAATTTGCCCTCGTTAGTTTGGAATACCCTATATATATGCGTGTGTGTGTGGGTTGTGTATATTAGAATATATTAGATTCATATATTAGAAATAACATTTAAATTGTATATTCAATAGACTAAAATGACCATAATATCATTAGTAACAGAAATATATCATCGACCCCTCATTGCAACATCTTTTTCCTACTTTCCTCTAAAAAAAAAAACCAAAAATTCCATGAAGATTCTCTTCATAAAAAGACCAAGCCTTCCGGGACACGACGCCCGTCTCGTAACCCTCTCGCGAGTAAAAAGACGCGCCGGCGAAACGGCGCTCCAACGTAGCTCCGCTACGCGACGCAGCGAGGACTCTCGCGAAAGGACGGCGGATTCGCAAGTGCTGCGAGTGCGAGAGAGCTGCGAGACATGAGCGGAGAATACAGTGACAAACGCGGCAGCGGGAGAAGGTGATAGAGGAGGAGGACGGAGCGAGCGAGACGGTGCAACGGGAGGGGGCGGCGAAGAAGAAAGACTGGACGAGAGAGAAACAGGTGGGAAAAGGACAGTGGGAGACGAGGTACGCGAGTTCGAGGCAGCCTCGATCGGCAGCGTCGGTCGGCTCAGAGCTCAGTATGCCGCGCAGCGCGCAGGCTCGCGTACATATACCGTTCTTCTTTCCCCGTTTCCTTCTTTCTTTCTCCTGTCCATCGCGCGCGGCCATTCTCTCTCTCTCTCTCTCTCTTTCTTTCTTCCTTCCTCTCTCTCCTCTCCCTTTCTCTATCCCTCTCTATCCCCCTCGCTGCAACGTCGGGCGCGCGCACCATCGTTCGCTACGCACGCTCCGTATTCTTCGCGAACGTACGTACGTAACGACGGCCGTACGTGCGTGCGTGCGTGCGTGAGAGCGCGCGCGCGCGCGTGCGCGCGGGCGTGTGTGTGTGTGTGCTGTCGATCTGTCTGTGCGGGCATCGTCGTTCGGGACACGACGCGCAGGTACAAACATAAGCGTGTTCCGCGGGCTCGATTTGTAATACATCCACCCTCGGCGCGACTCACCTTTTTCTGCGCGTTTTCCAGGTCGCCTCGCGAGCGAGCGAGCGAGCGAGCGCGCGTGTGTGTGGTTTCTCTTTTTTTATGCATGACTACTCGCGCGCACAGGGGCGTCGGGCAGCAGCAGCGGCAGACACGACAGGTACAAACACGGAGGAGGACATCGCATCGTCATCATCATCGTCGGCTGTCGCGCCACGTCGCCTCGACTAACGGAGTGCCTGCGCGCGTCTAGCGTAGTACGACGTGCGCGCCTTCGCGGAGAGAAAGGAAGAGAAAGAGAGAGAGAGAGAGAGAGAGCGCCAAAAAGTAATCCCCGTGGGACACGTCCGTTTCAGCAGGTCTTTTCGAACAAGTGCGTGAGGCGTCGGTGATATCGCGCGAAGGTGGCGGCAGCGACGACGAGGATTCGCGCGCGATTCGAGTCGCGCGACCCATATACACGGTGACACGGTGACACGGGCGAAAGTGACCGGGGTGGACGAGACTGGGCAGCGTGGTGCGCACAGTCCCGTGGGAAAAGAGCGGGAAAATCGAGTGGTGCGGCCGGTGTTGTTGCCCATCCAACTTGTGCACGCGACATCTGACAAGAGCGTCGTAGTAAAAGCCGCGCCAGTGTGCGAGCGAGCGAAACGATCGAACGAGTGGAGTGCGCGGAGTGTAGTCGCGGAGCGTTGCGAAATTCCTCGTCGGGTCTGGCCTGAAACGTGGCACGAAATGAAGCGAGCGTATCCGCGCACGATCGATAACTATAGCGGCAGTATAGTCGACTCGGTAAATAGCAAGCGGCCCGTCGTGCTACCAAGCAATCTAACCTAACGGACGCGTGACCTCCAGGAACGGCGGATAGGTAGGTGTAGGCAGGCAGGCAGGCAGCTCGCCACCGAACCCCGGCTCGTTCGACGACCACGACGACGATGTAGAGAGAAAGTCACGCGGCGTTTTTGTGCGCAACGGAGAAAAGGAGAGTCCGTCGGCAGGAGAAGACACACACACACACACACACGGCGAGAGAGAGGCACACCGGGCAGAAACGAAGGAGGAAGAGAGGAGGGGGAGGAAGAGAAGTAACGAGTAGGAGTGCGTACGAGAATGCGACGCTCGGGATCGCGAGTGGAAAGCGATTTTCCACGATCGCATCGTCGTTAATAGAGCGTCGATGACTCGGTGAGCGTGTCTCTCTCGGATCGATCGGTCCGACCAACGATCGATCTAGCGCGCCACAACCGTTCCGTCCGTCCGTCCGTCCATTCCCTTTTACCTGAGGAGAGAAGATTCCTTGGAACGAGCGAGACTGAAAGGCGGAGCGTTCGGAGAGCGGAACGCGGACGGAGAGGATAAAGAGCGAAAGGGAGAGACAAACGGAAGAAGGGCGAAGGAGAAAAAACGAGAGTCACGAGAAAGGGAGAGAGAGAGAGAGAAAGAGCGAGGGACAGTGAAGAGGAGACAGTGGGAAAGAGAGAGAAGATACCTTATTTTTAGCAGCGCCGTTTTACGCATTACAAAAACCGGTTCCCGGAGAACACGCCGTCCGAGTACGAAGGGAACCGATAGCCTCCGCGAGAAGGGTTTTCGAGGGAGGAAGATATAATACGTATACAGATAATAAAGGCGCGACGCGTTCGTCCTTGTCGCGGTGGAAGCAGGGATAGGCGGAGGGCAGCCGAGAGGGAAAGATAAATATATATATTAATATCGCCGCGCGCAAAAATCCACTCGAGCGCGTCCTGAGGAACGGGGACGAGGATACGCGACGAGAAGCCGGGAATTAGATGAGACGAAAAGTGAGCGCCCACTAAAGATCACCATTTTCGAGGCTTCACACGCATACACACACATACATATATACACGCAGGTGTAGAGAAAGAGGAACGGGAAAGAAACAGTGACACGGAACGTGGAATCCACCTAACCTGATACACCCGATTCTTCTCCACCCCGCCGCATCTTGCCCGCCCTCTCTCAGCCCCCGTCGTCGGCTGCAACCACCTCTTGCGCGCCTTTTCGCTCTCTCGAGGCTCGGCTATCGATTGCATGCGTGTGTACGCGACAACGCGGCCACGAGATTCGATTATCGACCGCGACGACGACGACGCGCCACGTGACTTCGGAATCAAAGGAACGACCTGACACCGGCTGGTACCGTCGAAACCGCGCCGGATTTCCGGTCAGAGTCAAGGACACCCGCGCGGCGAGTCAACGAGATATTACGAGGATCGATTCTCTGATCGAGGCATCGGGAACTGAGGATCGGCCGTTCAGCTTGAGCGCGCTTCGACGGCCGGTCGATACAGGCGGTCGATATCGTGTCGATACAAACATACACACACACCATGCTAGTCTGCGATAATTCGAGGAAACTTGCTCGAGAAAATTAACGAAGAATCGACATTTGATTTCCTCCTCGACGAGGCAATTAAACGGGGAGCATCGATCGATAGCCGACACGGTGCTCCAGTCGAGCCGCGCCGATGCTCGGAGCGCTACGTTTCCGGTCACACCGTCACACAGACCGCACCGATGAAATTGAATCGGCGTGTAATCAATTGATCCCTCCGAGACGCTCCGAGTCGTTTATCGGCCTACGCGCAGTCTCCGTGGATCCCCGTCCGCTTATCGCCGTGAGCGACACCGCGGCGATCATTAACGTCATCGAAGGGATCGAAATCGAGCCGGGACGAGTCGTAACGACGACGTTGTCTCGTCTTGTCGTCGCAGCTGTTCCCGCGACTTATCGATCCGCGATCTGCGACGAGGGAGTACCGTTGAAAGCCTCCGATCTCACAGTCGGCTCGATCCACCGCGCAGGATCGGTCCCCGCGGTGACGGACGACGACGATGTGAGGAGGGCGGAGGAGAGCGCGTCCCGCTGAGATACGACGAACGGCATGAAGAATGGCAACCGATCCGAGCATTCGTCAGGGCGTGAGGGCGGTCGCGACCACGACTACCGATCCGCAGCGGAGCGAGAAACGCGCCGTCGCGGCGCGAGGCGCCGCTGGCGCGTTGGCCCTGAGCGTCGTGGCTCTGGTGGTACAGGCGGCGGCGACCGCGACTCCCACCTGGGGATACTACACCAATCCTGACGGTGAGTCAGTCATACGTGATCGCTTTTATTAATTAAGAGTCGCCGAGGGCGAACGAGCGACGCAGAAAGAGAGAGAGCGAGCTCGTGCACACAGTGACTCATTTCGCGGCTATGTCACGGCTTCTGAATTTTTTCCTCGCCGATCGGTCTGCGCGGCCGATCCCGCGCAGTCGTCGTCTTCGTACACACTTTGCTTGCTCGCAGCGGAGGCGGTATTTATAGTAAGATCTTATAAAAGCAGATAAAAAGATTTCTCTGAATTTACTGGAATTTCTTCAATTGAAACAAATCTGCGTTCTGGAACGGAGCGGACGAATGTAAACAATAATAACAAAGTGTACCAAATCCAAAGATTCCTTTTTCTTTGTGTATTTAAGATTGTCGAAGTTGATAAAAAATGCCGTTGAAGTAGAGAAGTTTGTTCGATCATGGTTGTATTGATGGAAGATAATTGCACAGCCGACTTCTATTATTGCGGTTAACTTGACCGATTCCGATATTCGACGTTTTATCTTTGCAACTATTAGTTTTCTGCCGCTAATTTTTCTACGTTCATTTTTCTCGAGGAGGAATGCCCCGGCGAGGAAACGATCGTGCGATCGATATCGCGATCTTTTTTAATCGCTCGGATTTAGCGTTGGACGATTCGGTGTCAAATTCGATCGATTGTCACGAATGTTTTTTGAGACTCAGAAAAGGAGAATTATAATCAGGCTGATGATACACGACAGGTCATTTGCATATTTATATGTGAAAACGCGGCGTCGCTAATCATTATTATTGTGAGTTGAGGAATATGCTCAGCGACTTGCTATTCTTTCATAAACTAGAACAGCGGCTCTAATACGAACGGATAAGAAAAATTGGATTAACGCTGCTCGACGTGTAATAAATAAAGCTGATGTACCGTCAGCGTGGTACTCGACCATACTCATTTTCTTCTCTTCGCAGCGTAAAACGGAATATTGCGGCTTCCTAGCAGCAAAAAGAAATATGAAAAAGTAAATACACGCGCTCGCGGAATGCGTCGTCTTGCGCAACAAGTAATAGGAAGTGTCACGCGCGTATACACGTTCAGGTATCTCGGGATGATCGATAGTTCAGAGTCCCTCCCCGCTGGTGCACTGATTAGCGATGCAGGTCTTTACACGCGTAACGGGATCGTCGAGGGACGTTGGATTACGATGGTACACCGGGTTTATTTTCGTGCGTGATAAATGAACAAACGGATATTAAATTCGAAAATTACAATCTGGCTGATACAAATTGGAATGAAATAACATTACACACCTACAGGAATTATGAGGAAATTGCGTGGATCAAGCGCAAGTCTTATTAATGTTTCGCGAGAATCATGATCGATTGCGCGAGGCTGCGCCAACGCGTTGTCCACCTGCCGGGAAAATTGCGAAAAAATTCTCTAGTGCGAAATTGCACGATGATCACGACACTAAGTTTCAATGAAGCCTTAATATTTTGTAAAACAAGACTCATTAGTCTCTTTCTGATCGTTTATATCGGGTCTACACGGAAAACAATTAATATCAATTCAAGATTCATATTTCCACGCAAGAATATATAACCTTATGTATGAAGATAAAACACTTGCTCATACATGAAAAAATTCTATATAGCTCAACTAGAAATGTCATAATCTTGTTATTCAAGAGTAATTTATATGAATAGAGGAGAAAAAAATATTGGATAGAAAGGTATCTTCGAACTGACTCTTCATTTGAAGGTGTAAATGACGCTTGAATTTGTTTCTGTGTAGGTATGAGTGTATATAGAGTTTTCAGACGGTTTGATCATTTTTTTCTCGGTGCAGTTCAGAACGCGAACGATGGTCCAATGAGTTTTCTCGTTGAAGAACCATCGGTTGCGTTTTCAACTGTGAAACTCAGTGTACGTTACACCGTTGTTTGTTTGACTCATCCGTCATTTTGACAGCTTGAGGTATCGTATTGTATTGCATATCCAAATATACAATGCGAATGATTTGAAGGAACGAGTATCGGCCTGATAAATATTAAAGCCGTATCGAAGCTTAATGGTACGGGCATACTTTTCTCATATATTATGCGTAATGACAGTTGACAGATGCGACGCGCGTTCGTGCGCGAAAGCGTTGTATTCCCGACGAAATATCGCTCGTGTCTGGCTCGCGGTAATCGGGCATGATTTACGCATATTTTCCCTCGCAAACGCACCAGGAACGTCCGCAACGTTTGACGCGAGGGTAAACGAGGTGACATCACGCTCGCCGGTTTACGCGAGCAGTCCCTATCGATTAGCGAGATTAACGAGTGATCTCGTCAAAAATCGTTCGATCAATTTATGATTGCAATTTACGATTGCAATTTATTGACATACTCCGCATATGTTCTAGAGCATTCGATTCGATCGAGGACGCGCGATTATTGAGTCACGTTGTCTCTCAGGACGACGAGCGACGTCGCGCTCGCCGAGTATCTCAATGATTTGTCGACGCAAGTAGAGCATGTTGAATTTGTCGGGAGAAAGAAGGGTAGGGGGGGAGAGAGAGAGAGAGAGAGGGGTAGAAACATTTCCACCGTTCATTCATATCAGTCTAACAGAATCGAAACACACCGACACGCTCGCCTCCCTTTCTTGGACGAGCACGCGCGCGGTTTTACGAGCGACGACGTTTGACCCAATTCAGCGCGCCGCTCGCTCTTCCCGTATATATCGAGTCAATTAATTCCAGCAGCTCGTTTTTACAGCTGTTACGCGCCGCCTTTCTTCGTCCACCTCTCGCCGCAGGCCGACCTGTTTCCCCTTGGCTAATAGTACATAGCTGGCTTTACCGGAGCACAGCAGCAGCGGCATCAACAGCAGCAGCCGCTCGACTCGCCCGAGCGCGCGCCGTTCCTCTCTGATCGCGCTTTCGCAGTTTCCACGAGGCGTTCACAAAGTCCATCCACTCTTTGCGTAATCGCGTTAATGATGTTTCCCCCGTCCTGGATAACGAGGCCAATTTGTCGCTCGTGCGGCCCGCGCACTTATTATTACGCATTCGCCACTCCGGAAGGCGCGCGCTCGCGCGTGATCGTCTTCATTAGCCTTATTACCGTTCGAACGGTCGGCCGGCGGATTTTCAAGTTTCTCACGTCTCGAGAGACGGAGCTGATCATTCGCCACGTCGATTGCGGCATTAGAGAGGAGATTCGCGTGTTTCCTTCCCGACGTGGATTTCTGCACTTTTGCACGATCGCACTTAGTCGTGCGTGGTAACGTTTAATCTCGATTCTTGCGGTCGTTACTTTGCGTATCGTTTGTGTCCCTTCGTTTATCAATCACTATATCCGTCCATCTACCTATCTATCTATCCATCTACCCCTCTCTATCAGTCTGTTTCTATCTATCCACCGTCTATCTTTCCGTTTATTTACCCATGTATCTACCTACCTATTTATTTATCTATTTATCTGTCAGTTATGAGCGAGAGACTGGAAAAGCGCCAAGTAGCTGAAGTGCCCGCGCGACACTTCTTTTCCGAGCTCAGGGTATATCGTACATGTTCAAATCTGCATTCGGCAAGATATAAAATTTGCCTTTCGCATCCGTCGTCAGACCTGTTCGCGATACCGTAATACCTTCGGTGATGTCCGCATACGGCGAGGATTACCTCGAGGAAAAGAAAGGGGGAGAAAAAAAGAAAAAACTCCGACAACACGTCGTTCCTCGTCTTCGCGCTGCGTAATGTCGTGTCCGCAATGTTCATTATCCATTATATCCCGTGGTATATAAGAGAGCACGTTTCAAAGAATCGCACCGGGACGTTGCTCAACAACGTGGCTCGGAAACCAATAAGCGCACGGTTTCCTTGTGCTAAATGCGCCGCGCGCGTAATTTCTTACAGCCGCGCTTCGCGTGGGACACACGCGTAATGACACTTATAATATCGCGCGCGCTTCGGCCCGTGTAATCGCTTCAACAACGGCCGTGACTGTCCGTTCGCGTGCGTACCTTCAATCGCTCAAAACAGGATAATCGGCGGGTTCGGGCTGAAAATCCGCTGAAATTCGAGCAACGCTCGCGCGCGCCTCGCGAGCGAAACCGCCCTCGCGCGAGAATACGTCACTCGACGTCGAGCGTTTCCCATACGCGCATTCCCATCGTTCCCGCCATTGTCCGGTTCTCGGCTTGTTTCGTTCCGCGTGCAAGCACGCATATCGAGAGGCATCGTGAGGCAGGAGAAATAATACGAGCGGCTTCCTCCACGGTCTCATTCCACCTCCCCTCTCTCTCTCTCTTTTGTGACCCGGAGAAAAATCTCGACGATGGTTTCCTCGCTTGTAGCGAGAAGAAACGCTCTCTTCGCGCACGCCCGCTCCCACACTCGTCGTCGCTACGCGACCACACGCGTATATGCAGACACGTACACACACACGCGCGCGCGCGCTCGTAATGCGTGCATTCACGTAAACACGCTAGCAGGTGTCTACTCCATATGTCGTCGTCGTCGTTAAACATCGCACATATACGGCGACGCGTCCACACGCACAGGTACATTCACACGCGAGGCGCAGGTACGTAGCTACCTGCGCGGGAAGCCCCTCGCAGGCTCGCAAGTATAGGGGACTCGCGCAGGTGGCAGGGAGTACTGTTACCTACCTACGTGGTCGCATACACACGCGGTACGCATCGTGCGGCGGCTCGCACGTCGTGCGTAACGCGCGCGAGAGCGACGATGCGCGCAGGGAAGCTGTTAATTACGGACGGAGAAACGGGGCTGCGGACGGCCGAAGGTTCCGCGATGGAGTCGATAAAGCCTCGAACACCGCGCGCATTTTTCTTTCGGCTCCTATTCTACTTCACTCACCCACCGGCTTGCGGTAGTAGTGTTGTGACTCGGTGAATTGAGAGATCGGATAACGATGAAGAGTCGCGCTACTCTTGCGACACAAGGGGGACGCGTTGTCTCTTTATTTCATCGCGCGAAGTATCGCTAGCAATACGCAATGGATAGAAATAAA